TTTGGTGTAAGTTAAGAATGGAGGGTTACTTTTTCCCATATGAATGTCTGATCTTCAGCCACAGTTTGTTTTTATGTGGTTAACCACATTTAGTGATTTAGGTATGTTGAACCATCCTTGTATCCTTGGGATGAAGTCCAGTTGGTCATGGTGTATTATTTTTTTGATGTGCTATTGAATTTGGTTTGCTAGTATTTTATTGAGGGTTTTTACATCTATATTCGTAAGGGATATTGGTCTGTAGTTTTCTTTGTGTGTGTGTGTGTGTGTGTGTCCTTTCATGGCTTTGGTATCAAGATGATACTGGCTTCACAGAATCAGTTGGGGAGGATATGCTTCTTCTTGATGTTTTGGAATAATTTCTACAGTATGGACACCAACTTTTCTTTATAGATCTGGTAAAATGTGGCTGTGAATCCATCTGGTCCAGGGCTTTTGTTTTTTGGAAGACTTTTTATTACTGCTTCAATATTGTTGCTCGTTATTGGTCTGTTCAGGAGTTCTAATTCTTCCTAATTGAATCTTGGGAGGTTGTACGTTTCCAGGAATTTGTCCATTTCTTCTACATTTTTGAGTTTATGTGCATAGAGGTTTTCATAGTATTCACAGATGATCTTTTGTATTTCTGTGGTATCAGTTGTGGTATCTCTTTTTTCATTTCTGATTGAGCTTATTTGGGTCCTCTCTCTTCTTTTCCTGATTAATCTGGCAAGAGTTCTATCAATTTTTTTAATCTTTTCAAAGAACCAACTTTTCTTTTCTATTGATCCTTTGTATTTTTTTCCCCATTTCATTTAGTTCTGCTCTGACCTTGATTATCTCTTTTCTTGTGCTGGGTTTGGTTTTGGTTTGCTCTTCTTTTTCTAGTTCTTTGAGATATGTCATTAGATTGTTAATTTGTGATCTTTCTGTCTTTTTGATGTAGACATTTAAGGCTATGGATTTTCCTCTTAGGACTGCTTTTCCTGAATCCCATAGATTTTGATAGCTTATGTCACCTTTGTCGTTCAGTTCAATGAATGTTTTTATTTCATCTTAATTTCATTATTGACCCAATAATCATTCAGTAGCAGGTTGTTGAATTTCCATGACTTTGTGCAGAATTGAGTGTTTCTCATTTTAATTCCACTGTGGTCTGAGAAGATAGATGGTATGATTTCTATGTTTTTGAATTTGTTGAGACATGTTTTGTGGTCTAAGATATAATCAGTCTTGGAGAATATTCCATGTGTGATGAGAAGAATGTATATTCAGTAGTTTTAGGGTAAAATATTCTATAAATGTCTGTTAGGCCTATTTATTCTAGAGTCCCATTTAATTCCAGTGTTTCTTTATTTATTTTATGCTTGGATGATCTTTCTGGTTCTGTCAGTGGGGTGTTAAAGTCCCTGGCAATAATGATACTGCTCTTTATCTCTTTGCTTAGATCTAGTATAATTTGCTTTATGAATCTAGGTCCTCCTATGTTAGGTGCATGAATATGTAGGATTGTTATGTCTTGTTGAATTGCTCCCTTTACCATTATATGATGATCATCTTTGTATTTCTTTACAATTATTGATTTAAAGTCAATTTTATCTGATATGAGAATGACTATACATGCTTTCTTTTGGGTTTCATTTTCATGGAATATTTTTTTTCTATCCCTTCACCTTGAGTCCTTGTGGGTTGTATATGTTTCCTAGAGACAGCAGATACTTGAGTTATATTTTTTTGTCAATTCAGCCAGCCTATGTCTCTTGAGTAGGGCATTCAGAACGTTCATGTTGATTGATAGAATTGATATGTGGGATGCTCTTCTGTTCATCATGTTGGGTAGCACTTTATTGCTTTGTTTTACCTCTTGTGCTATTTTTTTATATGAGCTCTGCCCTTTAGTTTATGGGTGGTTTTACACTGGTGGATGCCTATTATGCTAGTACATGTATAATGCAATTCTGAGTATTTCCTGTAGGGAATGTCTGGTCTTGACAAATTCCCTCAATGTTTGCTCATCTGGAAAAGCCATTTTGTCTCCTTCATATATGAAACTTAATTTTGCAGGTTAGAGAATTCTAGGCTGGCAATTGTTCTGTTTAAGAGGACCGAAGGTGGGGCCTTCATCCCTTGAGGCTTGTAAAGTCTCTGTTGAGAAGTGTGCAGTTAGCCTGATGGGTTTTCCTTTGTAAGTTTCTTGATGTTTTCGCCTCATGGCTCACAGGAGTTCCTCCTTTGTGTTGACTTTGGCCAGTCTGATGACTATGTGTCTTGGGATTACCTCTTTGCAATGAATATTTCACTTATTCATTGAGCTTCTTGTACGTGGATTTTTAAATCTCTAGCAAGACCAGGGATGTTTTCATTAGTTATTCCCTCAAATAGGTCTTCTAGCCCTTGTGAGTTTTCTTCTTCATCCTCAGGGATGTCTATGATTCTTATATTTGGCCATTTTATATAATCCCATGTTTCTTGTAGGCTTTGTTCATTTCTCTTAATTCTTTGTTGTTTAGTTTCGACTGACTGAATTAAATTGAAAGAGTTGTTTTCAAGCTCTGATATTCTTTCTTCTGCCTAGTCTAGTCTACTCTTAAAACTTTCCTCTGTGCTTCCTATTTCCTTAAATGAATTTTTTATTTCCAGAAGTGCCATTTGTTTTTTCTTTTTTAAATAAATCTTGATCTCTTTAGTGAATTTTTCATTCATTTCCTGAATTGTTTTGCTGGTTTCTTTGAGTTGGTTTTCCATTTTCTCTTGGATCTCATTGAGCTTCCTTACAATCCATATTTGGAATTCGTTATCTGTCACTTCAGTATTTTTGTTTTGGTTGGTGTCCATTGCTAGAGAGCTGGTGTTCCCCTTTGAGGGTATTCCTTTGCTCTGATTTTTCATACATCCAGAGTTCTTGTGCTCATTGCTTTTCATCTGGAGCAGCTGTTGCTTCTCATTTTTGTATTTCCTTTTGTTTAGATGGGGCTTTTTCATCTCCCCACACTTGTAAGGGTGTGTTTATAGCATATGTTGAGTACGAACCTTTGGCTTTGTTTGTGGGTTCTTTGATGGCGGTCTTGGTTCTGGATGGATGCCTTGGTTATTGATATCCTTAGTGTGGTGATGTTTTTCTGTTGCTAGTTATTTGTAGGTAGTGGTGATCTATGTGTGTGGGCAGATTCCCTGTCTCTTCTTCATGAGGCAGGATGGAGATTTTTGTAATCCTTTCTCTTTCCCCAGCCCTGTGGTCTTCTTAACTGTTTGAATTATATTGGCACACCCAGTTTGATCTCTCCAGCCACATTTTTTTGGAAAAAAAAAACAAAAACACCTATTTTCCAATGCCTTTCCTATGTTGAAATTCACTTGACCACATGAGGGATAGTTTGTTAGTGGATTCTATATTCTGCTTCATAGCTCTAAATGTTGGAAAATCAAGTAATTTAAGGTTTCTAAAAATTTATTTTTAGTGTTAAATTTATCTATTCAGGGTTCTTTGCATTTCCATGTAAAGTTTAGAATTGCCTTGATATTTCTTCAAAAACAAAGCTGCTTAGATTTTCCATAGAACTTAATGGAATATACAGATTAATTTGAAGAAAACTGACATTTAAAAAATCTTGAATTATCCATTTCATGAAAATGGTACATATTTTTATTTATTTAAGTATTTTTAAATTTTCTCATTAAAGTTTTAAAATTTCAATGTAAAGGTTTTTCATAATTTTGTTATATATTTCCCTAAATATTTTATTTTTGGATGCTATTATATCTTTCAAAAATTTCAATTTGCAATTATTTGTAGCTAATATTGAGAAATACAATAAAATTTTGAGTATCAATTTGTATTCTATTCCAACTCCCTTGTTGAAATTACCTTTATAATTTTATACATACAGGATCATGTTGAATATTATTAAAGTCATTTTTACTACTGCTATTGACTGAATTATGGACGTCCCTCAAAAATTTCTATGATGAAGCTCTAACTCCCAGTGTGGTGGTATTTGGAGATGGAGGCTTTGGGAGATAATTGGGTTTTTTTCCACTTTATCCTTTCTACTTTATTACTTCAAATTAACAACCATGATAAAGCTCCAAAAAGTCCAGTATTTACACAGGCTGGCTCCTGTAGTACAGGGTTGTCAGGGGAGTATCGGACAGGCTGCAATGCCAAGGAGCAAGGATCCTCATTGCTGAGGCCATCCCATCTTTTTGCCATTGGCAGAAAAATCAAAGGAACAAAATCCATTGTCGGTTTTGTGCTGTTTTTTGTTTCTTTTTTCTTTTGAGTGGTTGTTTTCCCCATCTTGTTGTTGTTAGTTAAAAGAAAATGCACTAAATACATAAAGCAAACACTGGTCCAATGGTGGCTCTCCTCACTGCCAGAGATGGTCAATGGCATGCTTGTCTGTGAGGCTGGAATCCAGGAGATCTCTTGCCGCCCAGTGAGGTCTGAGGATTGACTACAAGTTGGTGGGTGCATCCCTGTGCAGCCTCATACTCATCTTCCCCTATCAGCCGATTCGTGAGATCACTCTGGAAGAAGTATTGCCAGCTTGCTGGATTTGGGGGGCCAGGTTAGAGACCACAGGCTTGGCTTCACTGTGGAGTTGATTGGCAATTTCCCCCTTGGGTGCGCCAAGGGAAGGGCCCAGGTTACAGACCTCTGCAGCTACCCCAACTTCTCCTTGTGCTTTTGTTCTTGTTGTTTCCGGTCCATGTCCTTGGGGTTCTGGGCTGTACTGATTTTGATTGTGTTCCAGTTGAAGATGTAGTCATATAAGAAGCCCTGCATGTGGAAGAGGTTGCTGAAGAGCTCACACAGGTAGGAGTAGTCAGGCTTGTCATTGAACTATGGGGAGTGGCAGAAGTTGACGTATGTTTAGAACTCAGAAGGGTAGCCTTTGCAGAGGACCTCAGTGGATTTCAATATCTTCTTGCTGATCTGCTTGTACTTCTGGTTCTTGGTGGGTGCTTTGAGGCCCTACCAGGACAGGGAGCCCAGGTTGAAGTACATGAGCACATATCCCAGACTCCATGTCATCTCAATGGCTTTGCTCAATGCCCAGGTGGGTGTTGATGGCATGATAGCAGCCAGTGCCAATCAGGTTCTTGTTTTCCTGATAGAGGATGTGCTGGTGGGTGTGGATATCCTGGTACTTCTTGGCCAGGCCAAAGGTGATGATGTACACCAGGTTGCCCTTCTTCCCTAGCCCCATGAGGAAGTTGTCAGGCTTTACATCCTGGTCGATGCAGTTCTTGGAGTGCATGTACTCTATGTGGCTGATCATCTGGTTGGCCAGGAGCAGCACCCTCCTGAGGCTGAGCTTTTGGGAACAAAAATTGAAGAGGTCCTTGAGGCTGGGCCCTAGCAGCTCCATGACCATCACGTTGTAGTTGCCCTCGGCTCCACACCACTTGATGAACAGGATCCCCTTTCCTCTTGGCATCATCTTGTAGAACTTGCTCTCAATATGCAGCTGGGGGGTGCTTTGTTTTCACACACTAGAGCTTGATAACAACTTCTTCACCAGAGGCAATGTTGGCACCTTGGTCCCTGTCTTCCATCCCAGATGATACTTATTCCCCACACATAGCTCCATGATTCAGTCTTGCTCTTCCAGCATCCCTGGAGCCTGACTTCTCTCTCTGACTTGGTTCTCAGTGATTCCTCAATAATTATATTTAGATGCAGTCGTGAATGTGGATGCTTATGATGATGTCTTAGTCCATTTTGTGCTGCTGTGATGGAATACTTTGGATGGGATAATTTATAATGAACAGAAATTTATTAGCATACAATTCTGGAGTCTGGGAAGACCAGTGCCAAGGTGCTAGCATCTGATGAGGGCCTTCTGGGAGAAGGCATCATATAGTGGAAGGAGATCACATGGTGGAAGGCATCATAGGATGGAAGGGCAAAGAGAGGAGGAGAGAGAGCAAGAGGGGCCAAACTTACTCTTACAGTAATGACATTAATCCATTCATTAGGTCTTTACCTTCATGACTTAAATACCTCTTAAATGTCCTGCATCTTAATGTTGTTAGAATGGCAATTAAATTTCAACATGACTTTTGGAGGGAATGAACATTCAAACCCATAGAAGATGGAATTAGTGTCTTTATAAGAAGAGACACCAGAGAGCTTTCTTTCCCTGCCCCCCATCCCCCATCATGTGAGGAGAAAGCAAGAAGATGGCTATCTGAAAGCCAGAAAGTAAGGCCCCACTGGGGAACCGAATAGGCTGGCATCTTGATCTTGGACTTCCCAACTTCCAAAAGTAGGAGAAATAAATTTATGTTGCTTATGTCACCCAGTCTGTGGTATTTTATTACGGCAGCCTGAACTTACTAATACAATTACTTTCTTTCTATTCTATTTTGTTGACCTTTAGAAGGAACCAACTTAGATTTCTTTGATTTTCTCATTTTTAAGCTCTTGTTCTTTTACAGTTTGATTACAGTGTGTCTCGGTATGGGTATCTTTGGTTTTATCTTACTTGAACTTTTTGAAAATTTTCACATACATTCTTTTCCTCAAATTTAGAAATTTTTCAGTCATTATTTCTTCAAATAATTTCTCTGCCCCTTTTTCCCCTCTCTTCTGGGTCTTGCAT